CACACGCAACAACTAGAGACACCGGGGCGCAACCAAACACAAATCCGCCGAACCCTTCTTCTCAAAGAGGGAGATCATCATAATCTTTGGGGCCAGCATATGACTACTGGCAGGATCAACAAGGTTTGTCTATGACGCGGTTATCATCATCCTGCTGCTCATCATCATCACCTCCTTCGTCATCGTCCTCATCTTATTCATATACGTTTCGAATATTCCGTTAGAGTCGATTGGAGATGCAGAGGATGCGTCGCGATGATTATCATCCAATTTGAGATGCAAGAGATGCGTGGACATGATTATCATCATGATTGCTAGTGATGCTGAGGCTAGTGATGCTGAGGATGCATCGTGATGATTGTCATATCGATTCATCATCATCAGCTTCATCATCATCCTAATGGTGCTCATCATCATCACCTTCTTCGTCATCGTCCTCATCTTTTCATTTTTTCATATACGTTTCACATGTTCGGAAAGAGCCGATTGGAGATGCAGAAGATGCGTAGTCATGATTATCAGGATGCGTCGTGATGATTATCATCCGATTAGAGATGCAAGAGATGCGTGGACAGGATTCTCATCATGACTGCTGTTGATGAGGATGATGATTATCATCCGATTTGAGATGCAAAAGATGCGTAGTCACGATTATCATCATGACTGTTGGTGATGCTGAGGATGCGTTATGATGCAGGAGATGCGTGGACATGAGTATCATCATGGCTGCTTAGGATGCGTCGTGAGAATTCTCATCCGATTTGAGATGCAAAAAATGCGTGGACATGAGTATCATCACGACTGCTGGTGATGCTGAGGATGCGCCGTCATGACTATCATCCGATTTGAGATGTAAAAGATGCGTCGTGATGATTATCATCTTGGTTCATCATCATCGTCATCATCATCGTCGTCATAATCATTCTAGTCTTTGAGGCCAGCATATGACTACTGGCAGGATCAACAAGGTTTGTCCATGACGCGGATATCATCTGCTCATCATCATCACCTTCTTCGTCATCGTCCTCATCTTTTTCATATACGTTTCAAATGTGCCGTTAGAGCCGTGGAGATGCAGAAGATGCTATCATCATGACTGTTGGTGATGCTGAGGATGCGTCGTGATGATTATCATGATGACTGGATTTGAGATGAAAGAGATGCGTGGACATGATTATCATCATGATTGCTAGTGATGCTGAGGCTGGTGATGCTGAGGATGCGTCGTGATGATTGTCATATCGATTCATCATCATCAGCTTCATCATCACCCGCCTGGTGCTCATCATCATCTTCTTCGTCATCGTCCTCATCTTATTCATATACGTTTCAAATGTTCCGTTAGGGTCGATTGGAGATGCAGCAGGTGCGTAGTCACGATTATCATCATGATTGTTGGTGATGCTGAGGATGCGTCGTGACGATTATCATCCGATTTGAGATGCAGGAGACGCGTGGACATGAGTATTATCATGACTGCTTGCTGTTGAGGCTGAGGATGCGTCGTGATGATTATCATCTGATTTGAGATGTAAAAGATGCGTGGACATGAGTATCAGCACAACTGCTGGTGATGCTGAGGATGCGTTGTGATGGTTATCATCCGATTTAATATGTAAAAGACGCGTGGGCATGAGTATCATCATGACTGCTGGTGATGCTGAGGATGCGTCGCGACATGGGTATCAACATGACTGCTGGTGATGCTGAGGCGTCGCGATATCATCATCGTCATCATCATCATCGTCATAATCATTCACACGCATGGCCAGCTTATGACTACTGGCAGGGTCAACTGACTGGATTTGAGATGCAAGAGATGCGTGGACATGGTTATCATCATGATTGCTACTGATGCTGAGGGTAATCATGCTGAGGATGCGTCGTGAGGATTGTCGTATCGATTCATCATCATCAGCTTCATCATCATCCTCCTGGTCCTCATCATTATCATCTTCTTCGTCATCGTCCTCATCTTATTCATATACGTTTCAAATGTTCTGTTAGAGCCGATTGGAGATGCAGAAGATGCGTCGTCACGATTATCATCAAGACTGTTGGTGATGCTAAGGATGCGTCGTGATGATTATCATCCGATTTGAGGACATGATTATCATCATGACTGCTAGTGATGCCAAGGCGAGTGATGCTGAGGATGTGTTGGATGATTGTCATATCGATTCATCATCAGCAGCTTCATCATCGCTCATCATCATCATCATCTTCTTTGTCATCGTCCTCATCTTTTCATATACGATTCAAATGCTCCGTTAGAACCGATTGGAGACGCAGAAGATGCGTAGTCACAATAATCATCGTGACTGTTGGTGATGCTGAGGATGCGTTGTGAGGATTATCATCCGATTTGAGATGCAAGAGATGCGTGGACACGATTATCATCATGATGATTGTCATCCGATTTGAGATGCAAGAGCTGTGTGGACATGACTATCATCATGACTGCTGTTGGTGCTCAGGATGCTGAGGATGACGCTATTGCTTGTCATTTTGTGCATTTGGAAGGGCTACCGGGTGTTTTTGCGGGCTGCTGCAGGCCGACCACGTTCAGATCGTGCGTTATCGTTTGTTTTTTCAACGATTTTTGCGTTTGGCGACAAAATGGCTTAACATCGTTTTGGGGGGGTACCCCGGGCGCAACATAGCTCCCAAGATGGCCCAACATAGCCCCAACATAGATGCAAGATCAACATAGCGCCAAGATTGGCCCCAAGAGGCCCAACATAGCCCCCAAATTGGCTCAAGATAGCGCCTCATCCCAAGCCCCAACATAGCTACATAACTCCAAGGCAGCCCAACCTCATTTTCAGGAGGCCCCAACATGGGCCAAAGATGGCTGAACCGTTGGGCCAAGCTGGCTCGAGATAGCCTCAAGTTACACAATAGCTACATAACTCCAAGGCGGCCCAACCTACCCAGGCCCGTAACGCCAACCGAGCCCACGAGGCCCAAGGTGGCCCAACATCGGCTCAAGCTGGCCGAGCACAACAACAAGACGGCCCCACATACTCCCAAGACCGCCCCGACCATAGGCATAGCCCCAAGTGGCCCAACATAGCCCCAACCTAATCCCAAGGCCCAACATGGCTACATAACCAAGGCGATTTTTCCAGGAGGCCCCAACATGGGCCAATCCCGCGGGGGCCTCACGATGCTTGCCCACAACACCAACCGAGCCCCACGATGCCCAAGGTGGCTCAACATCGGCTCAAGCTGGCCGAGCACAACCCCAAGACGGCTGCTTTGTTGTTCGTTTGTTGCCTGCTGGCCCGCTGTTGGGCGTCAGCCCTCTAGCTGAAGGCCCTTCGCAGGTAGGCGAGTACCTTCAGGTATGGCGCCCCGACCACGTTCAGACCATGCGTTATTGTGTGTTTTTTCAACGATTTTTTCGTTTGGCGACAAAATGGCTTAACATCGTTTTGGGGGGGTACCCCCGGGCGCAACATAGCTCCCAAGATGGCCCAACATAGCCCCAACATAGCCCCAGCGCCAAGACGGCCCAACACAGCCCAACCTAGGCCCCGACATAGCCCCGAACCCGTCCTGATATATACATATATATATATATAATTCTGTGCCCTGCCTCCTTCTCTAGCCATCTCTCCTACCCACCTCTTTACTATACCTTACATTTCGCTCCCTTCTCCCTCCTTCCGCCTCCTCCCTCCTTCCATCCTTTTCTTTGTTCTTCCTTTGTTGCCTGCTGGTCCGCTGTTGGGCGTCAGCCCTCTACATCCGGCCACCGGGGCCGTGATCGGGCCGCAGGCCTCACCCGGAGGGCTACCTTCAGGTATAAGGCCGTCCGCCCTATGCCGCCGACCATGAGCCAAACATGAGCATACGTCCCGCCCTTATAAGGGGCGAAGGATTTGCGGATTGGTTTAAGCGATTTTCGAGGATTTTTGTAGCATCTCCCCACGGCATCCAAAAATGAGTGCTATGCATGCTGGCGATGCGAAACAAGGGGCTGAGAATTGCAGAAAGCGAAGGGGAAATGCAAGGAAACAGGGACTGGAAGTGAGCGAAATGGAAGTGAAAGGAAAATGAAGAGGGCGCTGGAGAGAAACCAAATGCAGGAAAATGCGTTACTTTGAGTTTCTCGCCTTGGAGCGGCTGAACCGCATCAAAAATATGGCACTTCTGCCTGGAGATTTCAAGAAATCTGTCACTGCCGCCAGAGCTATCGTTCCCGCTATTCTGTGTTTCTTGACTTGAAGCGGTTAAGGCGCAACTTCTGTCGGAAATGTTGTCCCGTCTTTCGGGGCTTCTCGATTTGGAGCCTTAAAAAGCAGCAATAGTTCTGCTTTAAACCGCGTCAAAAACTCTGTGCCTTCCGCCAGACTTTTTGTGCTAGCAATGTTGCGCTTGTCAACTCGGAGCGGGTAAAACGCCAGAATAAGCACGTTACTTGTGTCGCAACTAGTGTTCCCGTCGTATTGTGTTTCTCAACTTGGAGCCTTTAAAATACATCTAGACTTGTACCGCCTTTGCCGGAGTTCTAATTCTTGTTACTTTGCGTTTGGAGCGGCTAAAGCATATCAAGACTTGTTTCACTTCTGCCGGAATTCTTGATCTAGAATATTGCAACTTCTTCCGCAAACCTTGTTCCCAACATTTTGTGCTTCCCGACTCGAAGCGGCCAAAACGCATCAAGCATTCTGTCGCTTGTCCCGGAGTTCTTGTTGCCCCTGTTCTGGTTGTTTGGAGTTTCTCACCTGACTCAGCAAAAAAAAGAAGAAGCAACAGTTGTGTCACTTCTTCCCGTTGTTGTGCGTTGCTCGGCTTGGAGCCTGGCTGTCAGGCTCTGTAGTAGCTGTCTGCTCGTCGCAGCTGTCAGCCACATCACATCTGTCTTTTTGGCTGTGTCGCAGCTGTCTGTCACAAGCCCTGTCGGCGGGCGAGCTGGTTGTGGCGGTCGGACGTCACTTAAAATCGAACACCCCTAAAACCTGTCGGGTGGGGAAGACAACCATGCGTCCTTTCGTGGATGTATCACAGCCACATATGCACATGCCTAATCATCCCTCCTAAAAATCATAAGCACCGTGCGTCGGAACCCAGCCCAAAACTTCGGAGAATCCCCAGGCGACAAACTTCAGTTGAGCTGTCCTTCTTTCGCGCAGAGCTAAGGCTTCCACGGCCAGTGGACGGGGCGAGGGCTGCCCGCTCGCGTCCTCGGAGACTTTGCCTCTTTGGGCTCTTCTTTGGAGTCCGTTGACCTGCACCTGACTTGGGCACCTTGGGCACCTTGGGCACCTTGGGCACCTTGGGCACCTTGGGCGGCTTGGGCGGTTTGGGCGGCTTGGCCTCTTGGACTTGGAGCCCTGGGCAGGCTAGGCACGGGACCGCTGGTTGACTGGGAGCGCCCCCTTTCGAGAGCATGGACCCGATGTCCGAGCTCCTGTGCTTCAAACGCGGCCACGGAGGCCGTCCTCTCCACGGTGGCACTGCTGATTTCCATGGCCGCCATGCGCTTCTGGATGGCCAGCGTTGCCGCTTTGTTGTCGCTCAGGCTGCGCTGTGTATCATTCACTCGCAGCTGCAGCTTCTGCACTTCCCGCTTCACGTCTTTTGCGTCCGGCATTGGCTTCATGTCTTGAAAGGTTGGTTGCATCAAGCCCGCGTTCGTCTGCAGGAAAGACAGGTTCTGCTGAAGCTTGTCTACATCTTCCCTCACCCGGACTGCCATGTTATTGGTTGCGCCATTCACATCTTCAAGGCGAGCAACTCGGTGATCAAGGTCCTGAATGGACTGAGCGCAGGCGCCTTCTCCACTCCTCAGCTCTTTCCATTGAAATGCCAAGGGCTCGGCCGAATTGGCAAGGGAGCATAGAAACAAACAGGGAAAAGACGGCGGGCTGTGCAGCCATGGCACTTCTCCCACGTTGCCATTCGCTCCCGCAACTCATTCACATAATCTGAGGCACGTACAGCAGTGTTATGCGTCTGGCCTGTACAGTCAATGTCAGAAAGTTCAGCCGCCAAATGCTTGACATGCTTGACCTCCTTCGCATCGCAGGGAACAAATGCAATAAAGCATGCATGCAACATGAGCGTGAGCGTGCACAACCCGCGCTTTCACCCGTCCCAGCCTTGCGTGTCTTCCAAGTGTGACAATCGCCTGTGAACAGAGTCATCCTGGCCACCATCCATGTCCTCTTTGAATGAACTTCGCGGGGCAATTCCGGATGAATTCAGCAACTTGTGAAGCTCCTCCCTTGCTGCAAAGGCCTCCGCTTTGGCGAGGTCAATTTCTGCCATGCCCTGCTGAAGCTGACGCTCAACATGTTCCATCCTGGCAACCGTGTCTTCGCTTCCAATTTGGTCCGCAGGTAGTGTGCCCGTGAGATGAAAGTCACTAGTCTGAAGCCGCCGCTCCAGCCGCTCAATCCGAGCTGCCACATCATGCGCTGCTGCAAGTCCCTTTTCTAAACTAAAAATGCGATCCGAAAGCTCAAGTTGGGGCCTGTCAGCAGGATGCGCGCTTTCCGTGCCACTTTCACAGATCTCAAGAGCTGCTGTGCTTTGCCGTCGCTGCCGCTCGACATCCTCAAGGCGCGCCGCTGCATCTTTGGTGATGTCATGTGCCTTCTCCAGCTCTGACATGCTCTGCTGCAGCTTCTGGATGTCCATCTGCGAGCCATAAGCGGCCACCTTGACAGCCTCCAAATCCAGCAAGACTTGTTGTATTTTCAGCAGTCCGTCTTGTGCTGCCATCCCGCCCTCTGTGCTACTTTTGAAGCTGTCCACGGCTGCTGTGCTTTGCCGCAGCTGCTGCTCGACATTCGCAAAGCGGGCTGCTGCATCTTTGGTGCTGGCATGTGCCTTCTCCAGCTCTAACATGCTCTGCTGAAGCTTCTGGATGTCCATCTGCGAGCCGGAAGCAACCACTTTGACAGCCTCCAAGTCCAGCACTCGCTGCTGCATTCTCTGCAGGTCGTCCCTTGCTGCTGCCATCCCGCTCTCCATGCTACTCTTGAAAATGTCCACAGCTGCTGTGCTTTGCCGCAGCTGCCGCTCGACATCCTCAAGGCGCGCTGCTGCATCTTTGGTGGTGGCATGTGCCTTCTCCAGCTCTGGCATGCTCTGCTGCAGCCTCTGGATGTCCATCTGCGAGCCAGAAGCGGCCACCTTGACAGCCTCCAAATCCAGCAAGACTTGTTGCATTTTCAGCGGTCCGTCTTGTGCTGCCATTCCGCCCTCCGTGCTACTTTTGAAGCTGTCCACGGCTGCTGTGCTTTGCCGCAGCTGCTGCTCGACATTCGCAAAGCGGGCTGCTGCATCTTTGGTGGTGGCATGTGCCTTCTCCAGCTCTAACATGCTCTGCTGAAGCTTCTGGATGTCCATCTGCGAGCCGGAAGAAACCACTTTGACAGCCTCCAAATCCAGCACTCGCTGCTGCATTCTCTGCAGGTCGTCCCTTGCCGCTGCCATCCCGCTCTCCATGCTACTCTTGAAAATGTCCACAGCTGCTGTGCTTTGCCGCAGCTGCCGCTCGACATCCTCAAGGCGCGCTGCTGCATCTTTGGTGGTGGCATGTGCCTTCTCCAGCTCTGGCATGCTCTGCTGCAGCTTCTGGATGTCCATCTGCGAGCCAGAAGCGGCCACCTTGACAGCCTCCAAATCCAGCACTCGCTGCTGCATTCTCTGCAGGTCGTCCCTTGCTGCTGCCATCCCGCTCTCCATGCTACTCTTGAAGATGTCCACAGCTGCCGTGCTTCGCCGCAGCTGCCGCTCGACATCCTCAAGGCGCGCTGCTGCATCTTTGGTGGTGGCATGTGCCTTCTCCAGCTCTGACATGCTCTGCTGTAGCTTCTGGATGTCCATCTGCGAGCCGGAAGCGGCCACCTTGACAGCCTCCAAATCCAGCACTCGCTGCTGCATTCTCTGCAGGTCGTCCCTTGCTGTGGCCATTCCGCTCTCCGTGCTACTTTTAAAGCTGTCCACGGCTGCTGTGCTTTGCCGCAGCTGCCGCTCGACATCCTCAAGGCGCGCTGCTGCATCTTTGGTGATGGCATGTGCCTTCTCCAGCGCTGGCATGCTCTGCTGTAGCTTCTGGATGTCCATCTGCGAGCCAGAAGCGGCCACCTTGACAGCCTCCAAATCCAGCAAGACTTGTGGTATTTTCAGCAGTCCGTCTTGTGCTGCCATCCTGCCGTCCGTGCTACTTTTGAAGCTGTCCACGGCCGCTGTGCTTTGCCGCAGCTGCTGCTCGACATTCGTCACGCGGGCTGCTGCATCTTTGGTGGTGGCATGTGCCTTCTCCAGCTCTAACATGCTCTGCTGAAGCTTCTGGATGTCCATCTGCGAGCCGGAAGAAACCACTTTGACAGCCTCCAAATCCAGCACTCGCTGCTGCATTCTCTGCAGGTCGTCCCTTGCCGCTGCCATCCCGCTCTCCATGCTACTCTTGAAGATGTCCACAGCTGCTGTGCTTTGCCGCAGCTGCCGCTCGACATCCTCAAGGCGCGCCGCTGAATCTTTGGTGATGGCATGTGCCTTCTCCAGCTCTGGCATGCTCTGCTGTAGCTTCTGGATGTCCATCTGCGAGCCAGAAGCGGCCACTCTGACAGCCTCCAAATCCAGCACTCGCTGCTGCATTCTTTGCAGGTCTTCCCTTGCAGCTGCCATGCTACTTTGAAACCCGTCCACGGCTGCTGTGCTTTGCCGCAGCTGCCGCTCGACATCCTCAAGGCGCGCTGCTGCATCTTTGGTGGTGGCATGTGCCTTTTCCAGCTCTGACATGCTTTGCTGCAACTTCTGGATGTCCATCTGTGAGCCGGAAGAGGCCACCCTGACAGCCTCCAAATCCAGCACTCGCTGCTGCATTCTTTGCACGTCGTCCCTTGCTGCGGCCATCCCGCTCTCCGTGCCGCTTTTCAAGATCTCCACGGCTGCTGTGCTTTGCCGCAGCTGCCGCTCGACATCTTCAAGGCGCGCTGCTGCATCTTTGCTGGTGGCATGTGCCTTCTCCAGCTCTGACATGCTCTGCTGTAGCTTCTGGATGTCCATCTGCGAGCCGGAAGCGGCCACCTTGACAGCCTCCAAATCCAGCACTCGCTGCTGCATTCTCTGCAGGTCGTCCCTTGCTGCGGCCATTCCGCTCTCCGTGCTACTTTTAAAGCTGTCCACGGCTGCTGTGCTTTGCCGCAGATGCCGCTCGACATCCTCAAGGCGCGCTGCTGCATCTTTGGTGGTGGCATGTGCCTTCTCCAGCTCTGACATGCTCTGCTGTAGCTTCTGGATGTCCATCTGCGAGCCGGAAGCGGCCACCTTGACAGCCTCCAAATCCAGCACTCGCTGCTGCATTCTCTGCAGGTCGTCCCTTGCTGCGGCCATTCCGCTCTCCGTGCTACTTTTAAAGCTGTCCACGGCTGCTGTGCTTTGCCGCAGCTGCCGCTCGACATCCTCAAGGCGCGCTGCTGCATCTTTGGTGGTGGCATGTGCCTTCTCCAGCTCTGACATGCTTTGCTGTAGCTTTTGGATATCCATCTGCGAGCCGGAAGCGGCCACCTTGACAGCCTCCAAATCCAGCACTCGCTGCTGCATTCTCTGCAGGTCGTCCCTTGCTGCGGCCATTCCGCTCTCCGTGCTACTTTTAAAGCTGTCCACGGCTGCTGTGCTTTGCCGCAGCTGCCGCTCGACATCCTCAAGGCGCGCTGCTGCATGTTTGGTGGTGGCATGTGCCTTCTCCAGCTCTGACATGCTCTGCTGAAGCTTCTGGATGTCCATCTGCGAGCCGGAAGCGGCCACCTTGACAGCCTCCAAATCCAGCACTCGCTGCTGCATTCTCTGTAGGTCTTCCCTTGCAGCTGCCATGCTAGTTTGAAAGCCGTCCACGGCTCCTGGGCTTTGCCGCAGCTGCCGCTCGACATCCTCAAAGCGCGCCGCTGCATCTTTGGTGGTGGCATGTGCCTTCTCCAGCTCTGATATGCTCTGCTGAAGCTTCTGGATGTCCATCTGCGAGCCGGAAGCAACCACTTTGACAGCCTCCAAATCCAGCACTCGCTGCTGCATTCTCTGCAGGTCGTCCCTTGCTGTTGCCATCCCGCCCTCTGAGCCATTTTCAACGCGTTGTTGAACTGCAGCGCTTTCGTTTGATTTCTTTTCAAAGTGCGACATGCTCTGCTGCAGCTTTTGCAGCTCGTTCTGCCATCCGGCAACATTTACTTTGATTGATTCAAGGTCCACCGTCATTGCGTCGACTTTATGCAACTCGTCCTTGTGGCCCCCTTCGACGGTTTCAAGACGCCTTTGAACCTCCAACGTGCATGCACACCATGCAGTCTCGATCAATTTCGGGGGTGAAGGGGTCTCCGTACTGTGCAGTTGCAACCTCGCCTGGCTCAGAGTCTCCTGCATACTGCCGCAAAGCCCTGCCAGCTGCTGCAGTTGGACCTCTGCGGCAAGCGAGGTTGACACTTTCCCATCCACCCTGGCCCCCTTGCCGCTTGAACCACTCCACCATTGAGACAGTCCCCTAACGTGGAGCGACCTGCCTCTTTGATTTCTGGCTCCGGCTTCGTCCTGTGGCATTGTGAACTTGCCTAGCCCCAAGAACATGTGGCACTTGAGATGTCACAGGTGCAGCTTCACTTTCTTGGCCAAGGCTCTCTGGCTGTTCGAGCTCCCTGGTCTCCTGAGGTCGCATTGTTTGGGTCTTCCAGCTCTTCTACCCTGCCGCTCCTGACGTTCGGGCTTGCCAGGCTCATCCTTGATCTTCACCAGCCAGTCTGGGCGGACGAAAATACCATGACCTGGCACCCGTGCAGATTGCCGTCGGAGCTCCCTGTCAAGGGCCCATTCCAAGTGACCAGCAGCAAGCCCCCGCCATGAGCATCCCAAACACATTCTCACGATCAGTTTTGGAGCAATTGGCCTACACCTGCTCCAATGTTATAGGGGTTCACATTGCTGAACTTGCGTGATTGTAAACTGTAGGCTCTTCGGATTTCCACACCAAATTGTATTTGGTGGTCCCAGCAAAGAGCACCTCGCTCAATCGCAATGCCACCATCCACAACATGTTGTGCATGTCTTGCTGGAGTTGCAAGAAACGGACTCGAAAGCAACGTTGGGCCAGTCGAGCCTCCCGAGCACAAAACCTATCATTAAACACAACCCTGAAAGGGCCTCTGGCATGTCACAGCTAGCATTGGAAGCAAGGCGACAAGAAAAGCACGTGGACCACACCTTGACACTGGCCAAGGCAGCAAGCAAAACAGCGTGACAGGCAAGCAAAAGCACGGGCCATCTTCCGGAATGCTCAATTGGCAAAGGGTCTTAGGCGAAGGGTCTTTGTTTGCAGCAGGTCAAGATGTTGGAAGCTTCGCACGGTGATCACGCACGCACGTGCAAAATACGCGCCAGTGCACACGCCGGCGCACGTGCAGTTTCCATCAGCACCGGGATTCCTCATCCAGCAACCGTCTGCCAACCAGTCACAACAGCACCATCAAAGCTTCATCAAAGTCTGAACCAAAAAACAGCAGGCAGGACGCAAAATCCTTGATAGCTGATTGGTACCGTGTAAGTCTGCCAATGGATGATTTGCATTCGATGCCAAATCGGCTCGCGGGCCTTCCTGGCACGTGAAGTATTTGATGCCGTTCTTTGAGCCATCATTCTTGCCGACCTCGCGAAAAGAGTTGTGCATCAAGAACCCTTCCAAGCCATTTATGCAATTTATGCTCAGCGGCCGCTAGGTCCAGCTCCACTCCGGCAAGGGTTCCTGGACTCGGCAAAGGCTCCAAATTGCTCCGGCCAACTGCCCAAGGGCCGGGCCATCGTCACCCACCGTGCCCAGGAAGCGGACCCATCCTTCTGCCTACGCACTGACCCAACCGCAACCAACATGGCAACGCCCGTCAGCTGGACAAGAAAGCCCGCCTTGAAGCGAAAATTCCTCAACTGGACCCGGTCGCCGACAACGGCCATGGCTTATGTTGTCGGGATGCGATAAACTCGCCAAAGGTGGCCAAGCAGATCTTGAACATTGGTTGGGAAATTCTGTCAACATGTGTTTCGCAGAAAGTGCTTGTCACAAACGCTCAACGTGAAGCAAGCACTGGTTGTTGGCATGGATGGATTGCAAAGTGTGACGGTGTAGGCGGGCATCGTTGGCAGTGCATTGTGCAACGGCTTGGTGATGTGTGTTTTACTTGTGGCATGACAAGCTTGAAGTCACGGAAACCAAGTGCTCAAAACTTCACGGAATGGGCGGCTTGTTCATTTGAAGCCCAGCCCTCAGCCCCACCACGAGCTTTGAGTTCAGTGAGGGATCCCCACCTCTCGCGGAAAATTGGATGCCTGGACTCCTAAGCTACGTCTGCAACTTCTGCTTCTTGGCCGGTGCTCCGTTTCCATCTGCGATCTGATTGGCATACGAACCGACGCCCTTCTGGTCTGCCGTGGGGTTCAGCAAGAAGCCCTTGTTACTGCTTGACACATCAATCACATCAATGTCTGTGAAGGTCGGGAAATGCAGGTGCTCCTGGGCTGCCATCTGATCAGGAAAGTAGTCAGTGCACGCGTCATCCCTTTGCAGGTCCCATGTGCAGCAGTGAATGGCTCCACCAAATTCGTACATGCCGCGCATAGGAACAGTGATGACATCGAAGCCGTTCTCCGAAAGTAGATTGTACAGCGGAAGCTCAGCCTCCTCAATCACAAGAGTCGATGGCGACAACGACAGCAAGTTCATGGAGAGCCAGTAGCTGCTCTGTGAGAAGGCCGGCCGATCCAAGGTTGCTGGCATGGGTGCGTTCAGCATTTTCCACCCATTCTGACTCCAAAGTTCCAACTCCGCCCGCAAAGGTGGCCGCTCCGGGTTGATGAGCACCAGGCCATCTTCCCGGTCTTTGCCTGGCGGCCGCAGGGGCACAAAGGTGCAGTCAATGTGACTGGGGTAGAGGTCATACGGAAAATGCAAAGCGTGCACTCGCAGCTCCGGAAAGTGGCTCTTCAGCCACATGATGCCCGAATCGTTCGTTGTCATCGACTTTTGAACAAAGATGTCTTTGCCAACTCTTGTGATATCTGCAGCGTCGAAAATGGGCTCCTTCTCGTTCACGCAGAACTCGTAAGACCTCATTGACTGAAAGCGCTCTTCGTCTGTCTTGGCCCAAAAGCCCGGGTTGTACATCTCATCCGACATGCTCGGCTTTGGGGCGCTCCAGAACTTGATCCTCAACGGGTCCTGGCGCCAAAGGTCCAGGCAAATCTCGCGGCAGGCCAAGTGCTCGAAGTAGCGGGACCGCTTGCTCATGGTGGCTTCCTTGGCTAAGCGTTCCATGACTTCATGGCTTCGCACTGCAAAACATTGCAAAACATGCGTCGGACAAAGTAACATGCCCTGGGGAGAAATGAAGATCAAAACATCCGGCGCAAGCTTCCAGAATGGTGTTCCCCAGGGTGATCATGGTGTCCCGAGGGCATGTCGCGCAGTACTGGGATGGAGAGCTCCACTCTGGCCCAGCCACAGGCTTGCTCCAGTCCATGCTCTTGGTCCGCAAGGTCCGGGTTCTGCCCTGGAGACAGGCAATAGCATGCAATTGTCATCGTGTGAGCAGCATCACTGGAATCACTGCCCCAGAGAAGCAACATAGACATAGCGCCCTGCCTTCTGAAAGACGCGGGCGTCGTTCTCCTTCGTATTGCTTCGAAGGGCTTCGGTGCGCCTCTTCTCCACCAATCGGCCGCACTCGGCGGCTTCCCTTACGGACTTCACCTCGGCCCAAGCCATGCCAAGCCACAAGCCATGCCTGTCAGCCTGTCAGCCTGTCAGCCTGTCAGCCTGTCAGCCTGTCAGCCTGTCAGCCTGTCAGCCTGTCAGTCACACCGAGCAAAACTCTTGTTGAAATGTGTCAAACTCCCGCTTTGGCCACCGATTTGGGGGGTGCAGCGAGTTCTGAGCCGCTCACCTGCACAGTTTCCGACTCCAAGATGTGGCAGAAGTTCTGCAGCTGCGCCTCTGCGAGCTTGGTGCTCTTCCTATGCTTCACTTGGCCTCAGCGACTCCGTGACAGTCATTGCTGCACTTTGTCATGTGCCTCGAGCGTAGCTCTTTCGAAAATGACGGCCCCCTCACCAGGTCTTTGCAGGTCTATCTTGAGGCCTCTATGAGATTCTGTGAGAATCTATGAGGGTCTCTGGGTCTATGGCGCCTTTGGCAAAGCCTGGCCTCCAGGCCATGGAATCTGTTCAGCCAGGTACGGGTCATTGATCTCCGACTGGCAGGCGGGCTCCACGGGCAGGTGGCAACTCGTTGGATCTGCCCGGCCCACCACCACCTTCAGCAGCCGCCCGAACTGAGTCCACGCATTCACCGCCGGCAAGTCCACATTGTCAGGCATCGTGCGTGAGAAAGCGTCACAACCTAAAGCGGCCCAACACGGCCCACCCAACACCCTGGTGCGCCTCAGGTCTTGACATTCTTATGCTTGCATGCTCGATCGTGTCAACTTTGTGTGCCTGTGTACTTGTGTACTTGAGAATCACCAGTTCAGACTTGCATTTGCATGCAATTGAAGGTGCAGTGAGCCACTTGCTGATGTTGCGAGCATTATGCGGGCGATCGGCTGCGCAAGCTCCGTCGAAGCAAACAGCTGCGGCGTGCGCCAGCTGCCCAAAAGCATCTTTTAGAGCTGGCGTGCGTGAAACTACAAGTGAGTGCTGCACCAGCGGAAGCCAACTTCAATCTGTGCTCTCTTAGTCAGGTAAGTGTGCACAAATCACAAGACATGCCAGCACAGACAGTCTCTTGGCCTTGTGGCTCACATGGCTCACGCGTAAAGGAGACGGTCGGTACTTTGGCAAAGTGGGCAGCCGTGCTTCTTTCTGAAGGCATCGCTGCGAAGCCAAATGATAAGACCTTGACGATTTCCAGCCGTGACAGGGAGTACCTCATGCAAGAGCTCACCAGGGTGCAGGAGCATGGTGCCATGAGTTGTCCGGTGATAGTACGGCTTTTTCTCCAGCTTTTGCGGATGCGCAACTCTCGCGCGGTGGTACAATACCAGCTCGCCTCCTGAATAATCCTGGCTCAAAGACACATTGATGGTGACCTCGGAGTTGTCATCATGGACTCCGAGGTTGGTATCCATGTTTGGGCCATATTCTACGATGAACGAGTGATGTGAATCGACCCCAGGTAGCAGATCTGGATACAGAGCACGGCACACCGGCATCAGGTAGACATAGATCATTCGATCCATTAAGGGGCCCAAACCAATCTCGTTGAGAATGCATCCATTCCTGTTCATGCTGTTCGGCTGCTGGTGTGGCAGCTTCTGCTCTTTGAAATGCCGCAGCTCGGCCTTCAGCTGTTCCACAAAGGCATCTGAAAGGAAGGGACACTCATGGCAACTGTCGTGGACGTGCTTCGCTCCCAGCTCTTTGCCCCCCCTGGCCTGCTCCCAAATCTCCAAAAAACCTGACTTGAAGACTTCCGCCGCCTGACTCGGGGGGAAGGGAACCCTCACGTCCGCTTTTCGAAGGAAAAGCTCTGGGTGCTTTGGCCGGTATTGCTTGAGCACCGTGCTCAGGTTCTTTCGAAAGACCTGTGGCGCCTCCTTCCTCCTCTTTGCTGTGTTCACGGCCTCGGCAAAGATCTGACTGCGGGTGGCTGCATCGTACTCCCTGTCGTTGACCTTCCAGAATTCAGCCGCTTCCATCTCTGGGTTGAGCACCTTAAAATATGCATCCACAAGTCTTGCGTAGATGTTGTCAGTGAAGTAACAGCCACACTCTGCTGGTAGCCACCGAAATGGTGGCCCCAGCACCGATACCTCCTTCAGGGCCCCACCCCCCCATACCATCGCAAAGGACACGTGCGATGATCACAAAGGTCGCAGGCAGTTGCCATGCGCCCAGTTTGAAGAGATACACAGCAAAGCAACAATGCTCCGCTTGAGACAGCTCTAGAATTCAAGGAACAAGGCACCTGCCAACTTCTTCAAACCACATGGGCGAACGTGCCTGAAAAGAAAAAGTAGGTGATTGTTTGCAGGAGACATGCCGGAACCACTGGCAAAAGAAAGAGTCTGTGTGATGATGCTCACCCCTGCTCTCATGCCGCAAGGCTTCATTGCTCCTGCCTCCTTGTCAAGGTCCTTGTCTGGCCCATCTTGCTTGGATGGGCTTGCTGCCTTGGTCATGCCGAAATGGCACGGTGGTCTCATATCAAGTTTCTTTTCAAAAGACGACCCACGAACCTTCTCTGTTCAAGAGGCATGCTCTCACGTTCTCATGAACCTCGTCTGTTTCCCTGACTTGTTCCCGTGTTCTGTCGGACTGTCAGGATCGACCTCAGGTTTGCTGCTCAACGGAGCCGCTTTGCCATTTTCCTCCATTGCCGGCGTGAGGCCTGGATGCGATTGCCTGAGGGCCTGACGCTGGCAGCACTCACGTCGGCCATGCAGGACCGCAGGAAGGTCTCGACCATCTCGTGGCGCAGCGCTGAGGTATCTGCCGCGCTGGCCTTGGCCTGCGACTCCGCCACCAGGGCTGCCTTGCGGGTGCTCCACTGCTTGGCCAGGACGGGCATGGCCAGCTTTGGCAGTTTCGCATCCTTCAGGGCCAAGGACCTCGGCACAGGAACCTTTCTCGACGTCTCAACTTGATAGATTTGAATCACATCAGCATGCTCACGAGCTGTGAGCATGTGCATGAGTGGCTGAGATCGCGACACAATCTTCCGGAGGTCCAGGTCCATGTTGTGAGCATCTTTTCGAGGCAGGGCTGTGTCAGGAGGCCGAACTCTCTCCCAAAACTTGGCCGCGGGAAGATGATGCAAGAAGCTATCCACCTCGTCAGCCCGTCGTATACAAACATTGCTCGATCTAGACATGGTTTGAACAGTGTTTGCCTTGCCTGTCGATATGCTGACCATGTTCATGAATGTTCAAGCAACAGAAGAACGGCATTGGACATTCAGCGTTTTGTTCTGAGAAAGGGACCTCCTGGGAGGTTTGGTTTTCTACAAACCAATTTTTCAATGATACTAGCGGGCCAAATTGGTTCTGCATCATGTGCTAGTCTGCTTCAACAGCAATTGAATCTTTTGGCAGCTCTGCTTGAACAATACTACATCCACTTTGGATTGAACAATTTGAATACTCTGCTTCAACAATACAGAGCCTTTGCACTTCAGGGAGTTTTTCATGCTTTGAATGAACATTTAATGAGGACAGGATTTTAGTAGCTATAAAAGCTTCAACTAGCAGTTAGGATTTAAGCATGCTTTTCTTGCTCAAAGGGGGTTCAATTAGGTTTTGGTCGGGATTCTTCTTTCAAATCAGAATTTTAATGTGGCCTCCTTCCCAGGATGACCCGTGCAATCTTGTTACTACCATCTAAATAAGACAGCCTTCCAGTGTAAGTTCTAGTTTTGACTAGACATTAGCTTGCATGTCCTTGCTAAAGATGATCTCAATTAGAGTTTTGTTAGAACTCTTAATTCAAATCAGAGTTCACAGATGATGTCTTTTCCCAGGAGTTGTTCTTAGTGGCAATTTAAGCCGAGATCGACACGGAACGATTTCTAATTTCAGTTGAAATTGAAATGGGGTATCCTTTTGAAAGAGGATTTCAAGCATATATTCAAATTTCAAGTTCGATAAAGGTGAGTTTTCATTTTAATACAAACACTATCAAAACAGCTGTGAAATTGAGTAAGACAAGAACGCAAGTAGAAATTCCAGCTTCAATTAGAACTCAAATAGGGGTGTCTTTTGCAAGTTGGCTTCCATTGTGTTTTAATGACACCACATTTCAAATTACATAGAATCCAAAGTTCCTTTCCCGTGATTTTGAATACAACTTAAATAGCAATTAATAAGCACAGAATCCTAGTAGGCATTTCCGTATGATTTCCTTTTTAAAGAGGAATTCGATTCGAGTCTAAATGAACGTCTTATTTCAAAATGTGACAGGTGGCCAAAAGGAATTGTTCAACCTCTCAACTAGAATTGCAATAGAAATGAATAAAGAAATAATGCCAGCAGATTCTCTAGCTTCAGTTATAATTCAAACAGGCTCTTTTTCCTAAACATAATTTCAATTAGATTGTACATGGAATTTGTATTTCAACATATGTTGAAGGCGTTTTCCTTTCTTGAGGCGATTCGTTTCAGGATTGATTCTTTTGGGACAGTCTTGACGGTCTCGCAGTTGTGAGACTGACCCCCGAAAAGTGTGGAGCTGTCCCAAGAAACAGTTCTGCAAAGCCCGGACCTGGTAACAATACTAATGAGACAATAAGAAACAACACGAGAACACTAAGAAACACAAAACAACAGTGCTTGTAGAAAACCAAACCTGCTTGGAGGTCCCTTTCTGGTTGTTCTTGCCTGCTGGCTGGCAGTCTCTTGGGCATTGAGCATCATGCTGTGTTGGCCTTCCCATGTGCCGTCTTGTGGCCATTCAAAGACCTCAGCCATGTATCGAATCGAAAAGTCAGGAACGGCGCTGGGTCGCAGCGAGTTCCGCTCCAAGCAAAGGTCCAGCGGAGCCTTCAGAAAAAGTTGATGAAATGCGCAGTTCTTGTCTATGGCGACCTGAGCCCAGTGCGCGCGTGTGATGCTTGAGTACATGTTGTCGTCCAACAGAATTGCAGCAGAGCCTGGTGCCGTGAGCAGCGCGTCAACCCGATTGGAAATCGTCTCCCTTTCAGTTCGTGAGGGCGAGTCGTAGCTCAGGTGATGCCATGTGGTCACGAGGAAGAACTTCGCTGCGCTGTCTGCTAGCGCCTTGCAGAACTGAGTCTTCCCGCTGCCAGGCAAACCACACACCAACAGGAGGCACTTCTCCGCTGGGATTTGGCCAGCATGGGCACCACCTTGCCCTCCAACTTCACTGACCACCAGCGGCGTGTCGATGGCACCGTGGCCGGCGCAAACACCACCTTCCTCGGAGGATGACGCCTTGGTGCGCAGCATGGCGCCCCCCACCGTGCTGAGGATCTCATGATCCACGGCCAAATGGGCGGAGAAGATCCCGAGCTCCGAGACGGCCTCCACGGACGTCGCCACACCGGCCTTCAGCAGCATGGCTGGCATACTGGGGGAGACAATCTTCTCCATGAGCACAAACTGGCTGAGGTCATTGCCACGAAGCTGTTCAGCCAAGGCAGCGCCAAAAAAGTTATTGCCGCCTCCCTCGCGCTGGGGCTTCAGCACCCAACGTTCCGGCCTCTCCAATGCATTCTCCACTGCGCCAGCCGAAGCTGGTTGTGACGGATCATATTGGGCCACAAAAACCGACATGCAGCGACCAGCATCCTCTGGCGGCAGGAAGCGGCTCAGCTCTTCCCAGCGTGACAGAGCTTGTTGCACCCGCTTAGCCCCTGCAAGGTGCCCCAGAAGAGATGGCACTTTGATTGCTCGAGAGAGCTCCATGAGCTTTCGGGAGTGCCACTCCCCTTCATGCGCAAAGTGCTCTGGACAGAACGTGCAGTGGAGAAAAACAACGGAGGCCTCCACACCATCAATCAACAGCGTGCCGCCCGTGCTCGCATCACCCAAGGTCACCTTAGCTCCTAAGAAGGCCCTGAAAGTGGGCACCTTCAGTCGGCGAAGGGCGCTTTCGATATGGCACTGGTCCATCTCCAAAAAGTCGTCCGGAAAGCAATAGAAGCAAACACGAGGAGCATGGCCGTTGTCAGAACCAAATCGCTTCATGTATTCGTTGTGTGCGGCAGCTAGGGCGGCAGCGTAGTCCGTGCTGGGGGTGTTGTCTTCAAGAGGCCAGGCATCGGACAATGCAAGCTTGGCCTCGGCCAGTGTGTGCTGATGCACCAGGGAAAGCTGCTCGGTAAACCCGGCAAAGGCCACTGCGATGGTGTTGATCTCCACTTGCCGATAGCGGCCGTCGCCGCCGAGCAAGTAGTCCTGGCGCATCAGCAGCAGCCGGGGCTGGGCTGCGGGATCCTTGCCGCCGGGGCCATAGACCTCCTGGGCCATACCCAGAAGCCGACACAGCCAGGGGTCGCTGACAGGAGCCAAACACTTCGTCAACCACCGCAGATCACAGGACACGCGGTCCACGAGCCGGCTGAAGATGGGGGCCAACAACTGGAGGTGCTGAAGCTGGCCGCTGGGGACGGGTGACGGGACCAGGGACAAAGGAGGTAATTCTGGAGTCCCTGGTAGAGCCTGGTTAAAGACCACCAGGCCTGTCCGGTAGGCCTGGACTTGGACAGCACGGGGGAGGCCATCACAAAGCGCAGCTTGTTCCACCGCAAAACGTGCAAGTTCCTGGCATCTGGCTACGCCTTGGAAGTCCGCATCAACATCCGCATCTACATCGCTCTCATTGCCCGGTCCAGTCTCGTCCGTGACCTCATCGTGAAACATTCGCTGCGCCCGCTTTGCTTTGGGGCTCGATCCCTCACTTCCTGCTAGGACTCCGGTCGCATCCAACTCATGCAAGCGGTTCTTGTCGATTTTGCCGCTGCTGGTGCGTGGCCACTCCTCCACGGCGATGATGACATCCGGCGCCAGGTGCCGCATGCTGCGCGCGGCTTCCTGCGCTTCTGCTTGGGCAGCTCTGGGGCTGACGTAGGCCAGGAGCCGGGGCGGGTCGCCTCTGACCACCGCCGCTGCGCTGGTCACTCCGGGCACTGCCGCCAGCGCGTCCTCCACACTGCTCAGGTCGATGCGGGTGCCGCGCACCTCCACCCGGTGCTCCACTCGACCCAAATACTCAAACTCCCCGTCCTGGCAGCAGCGCACCAAGTCTCCGGTGCGGTAGGCCGGAGATGCAGTCCACGGATCCGGGAAGAACTTGAAGGCCGTGAGCTCTGGGCGCTTGATGTAGCCTTTAGCCACTTGAAAACCCCCAACGACAAGCTCCCCAGGCTCTTCGCAAGGCTTCTGCTGACGAGTCTCTGGATCCATTACCCAAAGCTGGACGTAATCGCCCAAAGGTTTCCCCATCGACTGAATCCTTGCAGGGAATGTGGACCTATCGATACGCTTCAGCGTTGCATCAAAAAATTCGGTGGCACCATAGATGTTCAAGACTTGGGTTGTCACTGGCACAGGGCGAATGCAAGCTTCCTTAGCTGAGCCAACCAGGATCCTTGCGTGGCCACCCTTACTTCCTGCAGCACTCCTTACACTATCTCACACTGTCAAGCAGTGATTCACCCAAGCATGTGGAACCAACATGAAAAATTGCCAACATTCACCATGCAGAAAACAACAGTTGGCGGTGGACACGCATGACATGATCAATCTGGGCAAGCTTCAGTGATGCCTTCCCCAGTGAAGATGATCGTTCTGAGAGACTTCGGCACCTGGAAAGCAACAGTAAAAACACAACTGTACGATGGAAACTTAAAAAACAAAAAAGCAAAAGGCCTGTTGGAAGCTTCCAACAAAACAACACCGATGCATGGAGACGTCCAATCTCAGCACTATCAATCCCCCTTCAAAACAGCTGCCGTGTGGCACCAAGCAAGAGGAAACTCTGAATGCAAGTTCCCAACCGCACGAGAAGGAAACTTTTGTTGACCAGAGAGCAGGCCTTAGCCATTGCGATCTTGTTCGGCAAGGTCGACACCACGTCGACCGGAGGGATCCGGAAGATATCGCGTGTGACGACTACAGTGGCTCCCACGGACAGTGGCTTAAAGATGTCCGCGACATGGACATCAAAAGAGTACTTGTTCGAAAAGCAGCAGCGTGAGGCCTCGCTGCAAGACAGATGGGCATTGCAAGCAATATTGTTAGCGGTGCCTCCGTGGTGCATCATGACACCCTTGGGTTTACCCGTGCTGCCAGATGTGTAGATGATATATGCGAGATCCGTGGCTTCGACAGGCACTCGGCTTGTACTGGGCTCCGACAGCCTGCAGTCATCGAAGGTGAGCTTTGCGCCGTCAAAGGCTGCCAAGTCCTCGTGGAAGCTGCTCTGCAGGATGAGGATGCGGCTCTCGGCCTCTCGCAGTATCTCCAGGCGTTGCTGTGCGGGCCAGGTGGGGAGAAGAGTAACATATGCGGCCCCGGACTTCAGGCAGCCGATGATAGCCACCACCATCTCCAAGCTCCGGTCCAGCATCAGGCCCACAATTTCCCCACGCCTGGCGCCTTCTCTGCAGAGGCGCCCGGCCATCGCGTCGGCACAACGATCCAACTCCGCGTAAGACAGCGAAGCTTCCCGCCATTGCACCGCAACCTTTGAAGGCGCCTTGGGAACCTGCTGCTCAAACAAGCCGTGCAGCGTCGCCATGGCACCACGATGCACCACGCAAAGGGCGCGGTTTGGGGCACAAAGGCCGGCCCCGGAGGGTAGGTAATCTGGGTGACGGAATGGTCGTGTGCTGGCCTGGTCACTAGTTCTGTCAATCATGGGCGTTGTGCTCTCGAAACTCTAGTGACACTAGTTGACAACAGGGAGCCAACATATAAGGAAAGGAATGCCAGTCTCTTGCTGCCCACTTCATTTTTACTAAGCCAAGACAGCATATCCTGCAATCAAACCCAGAGACGCATGCAAGGTTCGGCGAAGGCCTCTTCTGCATGTAGCACCCTGGGATTCCCTCCTGACCATCGAAGCGGCGCAGTGTTTCACGCTCTGCTTTGACTCCTCTACCAATCTGAGCACCTTCGGACTCTGAGATTTGACGAGCCGGCTGGGCGGCTAGGCGGCTAGGCGGCTAGGCGGCTAGGCGGCTAGGCGGCTAGGCGTGCTTCTCCCTTTGGAGGTTGCCCACTCGAAAGGCGACGATGCCGGCGATGAGGACGAGGAGCGCCAGCCAGTCTGCCGCGTTCAAAGGCTTGGGGCCGATCACAGGCCAGGGCACCGCGCTGAGAATCGCCGTCAAAGGCACGGCAGCCTTCAGACTGAGGAAGCTCAGCAGAGCAGAGCCGTAGCTGGTGGTCAAGATCAGGCTCAGATTGAAGATGGTGTTGATGCAAATGTAGACCACATAGGCCGTCATGGCGTGCTCCTTCTCAAAAAGAAGCCGCAAACCGTCGACCAGGGCAGGCATCGATGGCCCTGAAGAGACGGCAGCATGGTTCAGCAAAGCAATTGGCACGCTCGAGAGCAAACCCACGAAGTTAATCACGCTCCCAACCAAAAACACGTTGAGATTGTCTGGGGCCACTATGTCAGGTATGTCGGGCCCGGCTGCCTCAAGCAAACCGCCCTCGTTCAGACGACGCTGCAGCTGTTCACTGTTCGCATCGCTGAACGGCGGCTGCTGAAGTTGGATCCTGAGGGCTGTGTGGAGGTCCCCATTCTGGCTGTTCCTGAAGCCGGTAAACACGATCTCTTTCAGCACAAAGGACAAGGCCGCAAAGGAAGTCGTGATGGCAGCAAAAAACGCCCAGAACTGGGAACTGCCCTCGCCCCCGTGAGCCCCAGCGATGAGTACGCACGTAACTGCAGCAAATATGATAACCACCACCGACACAATCTCAAGGCAGTTGTACCTGATCTTCAGCAGCAACACGGAAAAGACCACTGTGAAAGGAGTCGTTGCCTGGTCCATGAGGGACATCATGAAAGTCGTCAGGTAGGGCTGTGCTGCCAGGCCAGTTACATTGTTTGCAATGTCACTGGATCCTGCAAGTGCCAGGTACTTCCAAGCACCATTCTGGGCGAAGGACCGCGCGCAAACAAAAATATATCGAAATTGGGATTGGGGCACCTTGCCACGAATTGTGAAAACAGTCAAGAACAACAGGTTCACAGTGAGCTGCACCAAGGAATCAGGCACTACACACACAAAGTTGGAGTCACCAAGAATCACGGCTTTGATCCTCGAGGCGAAGTTGTTCGCAGTCCCAAATATGGATACACAGGCGATCAGCATTGCCACAAATAGGCTCCTCCGATCCATTGCCAAATTGATCGACATAGCGGCAGTCAAGAAAGCTGGCCGCCGGCTGTGAACTCAATGCTGCGATCGGGCTGGGTTCCGAGCAAGTGACAAGGCGATCTGGCGCAAAAACACCGACACGAGCACATGTAAGCACCCACATGCAGACAGAGGCACGCACTCACAAAAAACTACACGCACAGACGCCGCAAAGATATACACAGGCACAGCCACATAGTCGCATGCAAGCACGTATGCACATACATGCCCATGCGCAGACACACACACACACACACACACACACACACACACACACACACACACACACACACACACACACACACACACACACACACACACACACACACACACACACACACACACACACACACACACACACACACACACACACACACACACACACACACACACACACACACACACACACACACACACACACACACACACACACACACACACACACACACACACACACACACACACACACACACACACACACACACACACACACACACACACACACACACACACACACACACACACACACACACACACACACACACACACACACACACACACACACACACACACACACACACACACACACACACACACACACACACACACACACACACACACACACACACACACACACACACACACACACACACACACACACACACACACACACACACACACACACACACACACACACACACACACACACACACACACACACACACGCATGAAAGAAGACACGCATGAAAGTACACGCACACACACAAACAAACAAACAAACAAACAAACAAACAAACAAACAAACAAACAAACAAACAAACAAACAAACAAACAAAACAAAACAAACAAACAAACAAACAAACAAACAAACAAACAAACAAACAAACAAACAAACAGCACACACACGCACAGGCACACAGGCAACACACCGATGTAGAGATAAACTGGACCCCGCAGGCACACATGACACGCTCAGCGGTAGTGAACTTGTTCATGCTTCTCGCAAGTCCCTGCATAGCAGGCTCCTTCTATTCCCCTTCAACTTGATCGGACGTTATTCAAGCTTCTGCGGACCTTTCCGCATTCTTGCCACGGGCCAAGAGGTCCCTTCCACGGTTTCTGCGGCGGTTATTTCTCATCGCTTGCTTCCGCAAACCCCAGGTTCAGCGAAAGTTCGTCTTGGCGTGGTGTTGGCAACTGCTCTTCTAGTAAGCGTTGTGCTTTTTGCAATTATGCAGCAACATCCTTCCACCCTTCTACTGTTACCATTGTCCCATGATTTTCCCTGCGCACAAACTGAAACAGTTCATATCAAACCAAAAAGCTTCTGCAAACCTTCTGCGGAAAGAAACCCCTTGTGCATGTTTCCGCGTGTGGCACAGTGCACATTGTCAAGAACAACACCCTCTCCCTGTCAATTTGCGAGCAACACGCAAAAACGCCACTCAATGCACTCATGTCTTGACCCACTCTTTCACCCGATCCCATGGAAGAGTACCGAGCAGCAGGCTGCACCTTTTGAGCGAGCGCCACTGTACAAGCGCACGGATGCCGGCCCTTGGCCGTCTGGACGCAGATGAGCTAGGTAGCCGCTGGGGCAGCAGCATCATGCAGCATCAGTGGCAGTTGGGGCGACGCCCGCCAAAACCAACTCCTTGATCGCTGGCTCTAGGTCCTCCCAATCTTCGATTCCCACCAGCTCGCCATACTTCTGCCGCAAGTGGTAGACGCAGACCCGAAGCAGCTGTCGGGCATTGCAGAAATACGCGTGCGTGGACAGTGCGATCAAACTCTCTGGGACCAGCAGCTTGCAAAGCTCGTTCTCCACCCACTGCTTCAAGTGGTCCAGCTGATAGAATTCAGAGAGTCGTAGTAAGCAGCACATATCCTCCCCCATCTCAGAGTCAACAAGCTGGCGCCTATTCGACCTCAAGCATCAAACGCTAGACCTAGCATGCATGTCTAGGTGGCCCATGCTTGCAAGCCTGTCTACCAAATCAAGCTACAGTGTGACCAATGTCTGTCACGAAAACTTGCAGGTATCCTGTGATCACCGAATGTGTGGCTTGCGTGGAAAGGCGTGTCTAGTCTGAGAAGAACTAGAGCTTGTCTCGGCTACCCTGACAAGCACCACATTCTTTTGCTGTGCTGCACGCATACACAAGTAATGAATACATTTATGTAGATAGATGGATAGACGGGGGGGGGGGTGCATTTGTTCGTGTTGCTGAGTGCTGGCTGGGTCCCGCCTTCTGAATGACAATCCCGGCCCATGGTGCTCGTCCTGACCCAGCCGGAAGGCCACTTGCTGGGCTTTTGCGGCATCATAGCCCTGGAAGCGAGAAGCGAGTCCAATGCGACGAAATGCTTGACAAGTATCAACTTTTTGCAACTTCAAGCTACAATGGAGCACTTCTGCGCCTGGTAGAGGTATGCAAGCATCCTCAGTCAATTGTCAATTGTGATGCGCTCGGCTGGATGTGCCTCATGTTGTGGTTCCTCTCTTTATCTCTCTGCTTCTCTCTCTCTCTCTCTTTTTCTCTCTGTCTCTCACTCTCTGTCTCAATCGCCGTCTCTTACACTCACTCACTCACTCACTCACTCACTCACTCTCTCTCTCTCTCTTTCTGACTCTCTGACTCTCTGACTCTCTGACTCTCTGACTCTCTGACTCTCTGTCTCCTTCGTGTTACGTCCAGGTTTGCTCGATCATTCATTGGGACCTTTGGGACCTGGTTGACTGCAGCTTGAACTGTCTGCATCTCGCAGCTGGGCATGATCTTTGCTGGGCGCCTTGTTGGAATGAACCCCTGCAGCATTAAATCCGCCAAGGCTCCAAAGCATCGGCCTGGCTAGAACCCAATCAGGCAATTCCACGCGGCAGCGTGCCTCCGCCGCCTCACGCGACTTGCCTTTCCCCCGAAGAATCTTCGCCCTTTCGGTCCCGCCAAAAATACACAACGGGCCAATTCTACCACAGTGAGGGAAATCAACACCATTCCCTTTCGAGGAACGAAGTTGCATGCGAGCAACATCCCTCTTGTATGCTTAGGATCGACTAACCCATGTCCAATTGCTTTCACACCAAATCATGATCTCAGCCTTCAAAATTATAATGTTAATATTTGCCACCGCCCACCAGAAGCTGCTTCGCTCGCGCACAACCCCTATCCGAGAACCCAGACAATTTGTGTGCTGTGCCCTTTTCTGTTCTTGGCTTTGTAGCACTACATACCTCTTAACACCACTCCGACAGTCCAATGCGACCAATAAACAGCATGCTCAGCTGGGTAAACGTTGCTGAGCCAAAGCCAAGTGGAAGCCAGCATCAAACCTTTGTCTACGTTGATTGCTGCTGGTTGGTCAGCGAGGCACATCTTTATCACGCGTGCCTAGGTCCAACGCAGTGAAGCAGCACACGCAAGTTCCCAGGACCAAACCGACTGCAACAGCCAAACAATGCACATACAAGTTCATGGGCAAAAGCGGTCGGGAAAAGCGAGCATCAGATCAGGCATTTGAGTAGCGCAGGTGGTCACTCAAAGCGGCTTGCGAAATTTGGACCATGTTCGCAAACCTGCAATCACTGGCCCTTCTTCTGTCCCCAAACAGGACCAGGCCTTTCCTGGCTGACTGCCTTCAAATACTGAGTCAGTGTGGGCCCGCAAGTCTTTTCGGAGCAAACCCTATATGAACACGCAACCGAACGCAGACCTCGGCATAGGTGGAGAATGCAGCCTGCGGTTGGCGAGAGCTATACGTGCATCTCAAGGCATCCTGGGTTCAGCTTTGATTCAACTCAGCGCTAGGCATGAAAGTGTTCAGATGCCGCGGCAAGGACCAGTCGATGTGCCTCGGAGCATCGCTAGCTAGCTTCCTGAAAAGAAACAAGTGAGTGCCCCGATGTGGGAGTCTTTCCTGGACGTCATGCGCGTTTAGGGGAGTCAAAAAGTTCAGACTCCGCGTTGTCACGCCTAACCCTTAGATCCGCACATAGAGCATGCGAGGGGAGCCCAGAGGATCAACGACGAAGATCACGTCAGCCAACTCCGGGCGGTTCAAGGAGGCCCTGAGATTCGCCCGGTGAAACAGTTGGGACATACACAATTCGGCTCGTGAAATCAAGGGCTGGAGAGATGCGTTGCGCTGATCATTTTTTGAGCCTCCAAGGTGCTGGATGAAATCAGGCACAGGGTTGCTGGGAGCTGGCTGCACATAAATTGTTGGAAGCTGCTGGACAGACTGCACAGCAGGCCCGGCAATGCCTTGGCCCAACCAAGGCCGCAAACTGGCTCAGGGTTGCGTAAATGCCCTTCACCTTTGTTCAGCTCTTGAACGCGAGGATGAAACTTAAGTTCAAAACAAAATTCGCACACCAATTGGCCCAAGGTGCCCAGCAGGAGTCGGCGATATGGCCGCAAATACTGCGGCAAGCCCCATCTCGCCTTCTTGCTTGACTTTGCAGCCTTTGAGGCCAAACCATCTGTGTCCTGAATGGCACGACAGCTTGGGGAGGCTTGTGACGCAAACGTTGCCTGGCCATCGTGATGCCGCACGTCCTCATCAGAGCTTTCTGCGCGCCCGTCATGCAAGGCATCAAAGGTCTCGCAGGGACTCACCAGGGAACCATCGTGTAACACCTGAGGCTTCACAGGAGCCCTACTCTGCAACTGCAAAAAGCCGACATGCCGAGGCACCAGGAACTTGATAGTGCACAGGCTATGTTGGACCCCAGTCTGCGTGGCGTGGCTGCGTGTGGACATAGACTTCAAAGCCGCCAGGTGCTTCTCCACGATGCCCTGCCGGGTTGCCGTTTCTGCCGTTTCTGCCGCCTCCGCTTCCTTCCAGCGCCGCGCAACCTCGATGAGGTTGGCCACCACCACTGGCAAAGGCGGCGGGTCCTTCACCACACGAAGCACAACGGACAAAAATGCACCTTTGCATGTTCCGCAAAACCCTACAACCCTGCAATGAGTCCTTGAGACGAGCAATTAATCCAAACAATAATTCCAAAAGCATACCCACATATGCGTACGTATTGACTGCAAAGCTTGGCTATATCACCAAAAATACATAAAGTAAACAACTACATAGTTAAACAAATAATGTATACATACACACACATATACCACTCCCCCCACTAGACGACGGGTGGCCCGGAAACATAGCAACACGATCATTCCCACCAACCACCCGTGCACGAAATGATCGCTGGCTACACGAAACACACTCGCTTTAACAGCGTAAAGATCCTTGCTCCAACATTCGCGCGACCTGCGCGCATGCAATCGGAATGCAGTACTTTCTTGAGATCAAGAATGCACCAAAAGCGGCGCCTGCCATGCGAAATGCGTGTGCTGAAGGGTTCACTTGTGCTCGCTTACGCTCCGCCGGAGCCAACGACGACCAACACCAACACCAACACCAACACCAGCACGAACAACAACACCAGCACCAACAACCCGCAACCAACAATAAACAGCAAACAGCAAACAGAAAAAGCAAAAGCAAAAGCAAAAGCAAAAGCAACAACAACAACAACAACCACAACAACAACAACAACAACAACAACAACAACAACAACAAACAACGACAACGACAACGACAACGACAACGACAACGACAACAACAACAACAACAACAACAACAACAACAACAACAACAACAACAACAACAACAACAACAACAACAACAACAACAACAACCAACACAACAACAACAACAACAACAACAACAACAACAACAACAACAACAACAACAACAACAACAACAACAACAACAACAACAACAACAACAACAACAACAACAACAACAACAACAACAACACACCAACACACCAACAACCAACACCAACACAACACCAACACCAACACAACACCAACACCAACACAACAACAACAACAACAACAACAACACAACAACAACACAACAACAACACCACAAACACACAACACAACCCACAACACACAACACAAACAACAACAACACCAACAACAACAACAACACACCAACAACACCAACAAACCAACAACACCAACAACACCAACATCACCAACAACACCAACAACACCAACAACACCAACAACACCAACAACACCAACCACCACCACCAACAACAACAACAACAACAGCAGCAGCAGCAACAACAACAACAACAACAACAGCAGCAGCAGCAGCAGCAACAACACCAACACCACCACCACCACCAACAACAACAACAGCAACGACAACGACAACGACAACGACAAACAAACAAACAAACAAACAAACACACAAACAAACAAACAACAACAGCAACAGCAACACAACCAGCAACAGCAACAGCTCACAACACACACCACACAACACACACAAGTCACAACTCCCAACACCCAACCCCCAACACCCAACACCCAACACCAACCCCCAAACCCCAAACCCCACACCCCACACCCCAAACCCCAAACCCCAAACCCCAAACCCCAAACCCCAAACACCAAACAACAAACAACAACCGACAACCAACAACCAACAACCAACAACAAGGTTGGACGGGGGGTTGCCCGGGAAAACAATGCGAAACCGCCAGGGAGGGTTTGCCCGAAGAACAATGTCACCGATCAAGTCATAACAGTTCGTGGGCTTGGAGACAGTTCTGAGCGGGCGCACTTGAACGGGTGTGCTTACCAGTTGGTGGGCTTGGATACAGTTCTGGTGGGCTTGGATACAGTTCTGAGCGGGTGCGCTTGAATGGGTTGGCTTACCAGTTGGTGGGCTTGGATACAGTTCTGAGCGGGTGCACTTGAACGGGTGATACCAGCTGGTGGGCTTGGATACAGTTCTGGTGGGCGGGCTTGGATACAGTTCTAAGCGGGTGCACTTGAGCGGGTGTGCTTACCAGTTGGTCGGCTTGGATACAGTTCTGAGCGGGTGCACTTGAATGGGTTGGCTTACCCGGAGATTTGGACAGGTACTTGCATTCCCTGCGCAGAAAGGGCCGGATGCATGGCTGCGAACCCCTACGCACAGCTGACCCAGGCAAGTTAGCCATGAGCCAATCCTCCACTTGCTGAAGCCTACACTCAGCCCACCGAACTGCGATGCGTTGCGTCCAGGGCCTTGTCAAAATTTGATTAGGCCTTGTGATGCGAAATGGGCTTCAAAAATAAAAGACAAACCGCATCGCCCAGGTAGTTTCCCCTATGCAGCAATCGTGGGTGTGAATATGAACGCCCACGAGCGCCCACCACTACCGTCAACTGCGCACTGATGTACCGCACAGAATTAAGTTCGGAGGACCAGCTAGTCATTGATCGAGCCTGTCGCGGAGTCGCGGAAGTTGAGAGGGGTGCCTCACCATTTTCGTCGAAATGTAGAAGGGGCCCGGCGTCGCTCCGTCCATTGCCTTCTTCCCCACTACCTCGAGCAATCACACAAGCTTGCTCTTGTCCGCTCCTACCGACGCTTGAACTGCAGTGAGCAGTGGAGCTCATGAGGAAGTCTATTTTGACGATTTCCTCCTCAGCCACGTTGGGTACGTCGATTTCATTTTTTGCGAGCAGGGCCACAAACCCCGACTGACCAGCCGCTGAGCGCAATTGGCAAGGAAAGATCCGATATCTCCTGACAAGACCCAGCCCGTTTGGGGACAAGGCGCCAATCGCGAAGAGCGTGGCGGATGTTGGTCCAAACTGACGCAGTGGCAGCGCTTGACGGGGCGATTCGCGAACTCCACTCTCTTGTCTGAGCTCCCTTGAAGAGAGGTCAGTCTCGATGGCTGCTGAAGCTGCCATCTTCTTCTTCATTGATGTCTTCTTCTGCTTCATCCTCTGAGACTACCTTTTCTGAGCCTTGCTGCCCTCCTTCTGTTTTTGCTTCTTCCCAGGTGGCTTGTCAGCAGGCTCCTCACTCCTTTGGCTGGCTTGGGCAATTCCGTTGCCAGAGTTTCAACGTCGCTGTCTTTCGCTTTGGCCCGCAAATCTAAAAGATCTAAAAAGATCTACAAACGAGCAAATGTCCGGGTCCTCTTGAAAGCCAGTAGCGATGGTGGCTGTCAGCCTCTCGCGCTCTTTCCACTGCTTCTTTGTCGGCTGCGCCGTTTCTTTCGTGGTTGGACCTGGCTGTCAGCCTCATGCACTCTTTCCATTGCTTCTTTGTCGACTGCACCGGTTCTTTCGTGGTTGGACCGCCGGACGAAGAGGGTTGTCTTCTTCCAAAGCTACTTCCGGCAGCGTGAGGAGAGTAGTGTGCCCATTGGTTATCAAAATCCAAATCTGCTGGAAGAACACGTCGTGTTTTTTGCGAAGCAAAAGCGACAGCGTTCTTGCTCAAAGGGCGGTCTTTCATTTGCGGGGGGCTGTGGTAGCCTTCGTCGCGAGAGAGGCGTAACTGAAGAAGCCATACACAACAGCTAAGAACAGAAGACTAAAATGAAGCAAGCAACCCGATGAACACCGACCAGATTGCGAGAAACACAGAAAACACGAGGAACCAAGCAACAAGTGCAAAACGACTGGAGGAACACTGAAACGCCTCGAGAGAACAACAAAGAACAAAACGATGCTTCCAGAACTCTTTCAGCATGGGTTGTGCACCAAAGAGTGTCTAAAGCATGTGTTTTTGCATGCTTTGTTGGGTTCTTGTTTTGCTCTACATCTGTCAGATCAACGGCAACTGACATGGCTGACACTATTTGGATCTATAAGGCTAATACAAGTGGGACTATGATTATTTTGGCACGTGTGCTGCCAAATATTGCAATAATCAGCCACGTTCTGTTATGTTCTGCTCCAGTTGGCTTGCTGCTGCGCCGATGATTTCAACTGTACAGCCTGGACTCATGACATGAGAAATCGCCCGCGCTGCTCACGAGACTGTAGGTGAACAGGTTTTACACAACATGTAAGAACAGAAGTAGACTCATCATAGACACAGAAACAAAAACGAGGAACAAACAACGAAAGCACAAAAAGAACAAACAAGTCTACACCCCTTCTCATGACCCCATTGAGACTGCTCGCGCCTGAAAGTTGCGGGTGTGTAACCTACAATTTTTGCAGGGTTCTTGTAGACGCCGCAACCCCTCCGAGAGTTGGACTGACCTGCGAAACACAAGACTTCGTATGGTTTTCTTGTATTTCCAAGGTGGTTCGCAATGACCAGCTCTGTGTGTGCGATCAATCAATCATGGACACTGAAATGACTTAACACAACTCGTCTGCGAACCTCAAAGCTCTATTCTATTGGCCGCATTCGTGGTTGTTGAATAAGGATTACTATTTCGATATATATATATATATATAGTCATATGCGGTAAGAAAACCTGGAGAAACTAACCCCTTAACTAGACCACACCCGCTGTGGCAGCAGGCCCTATGGCCCTAGATTTGTGCAGGCAAGAACCTGATGTCTCAGGAATGAAGTTTGCTGGACGTCCCTGCCTGGTATCCGTATTGTTGGCGTTTGAGAGAAGAGAGGCGAGTCTTACTTTCTGGCGAACGCAATGACTGCAGAACAACTAAAGAGAGGCCCTTACGCCACAATGTTGCATGTGTGAAAAGTGGCCCCAAACCCGGAAAGAGCGCATGGCACAAAGGCGGGCGCCTGTTGCCTGTTTGCCACAAAAATCCGTGGGGTTGCGCTTGCCTTCGGGAAACCAGAAAGCCAGCCCCCCCCCAACCCCCAAAACCTCCAGGCGGTCGTAAGCACACACACTTCAACTCGAGGAAAACCAAGAAAACACAAACCGAAAAAAAAGGAACACTGTTTCTAGCACTGTTTTCAACATGGGTTGCGCGCAATACAGTTTCTAAAAGCATGCTTGTTGTTGCTTTCCTCCCTTTTGCTTTGTTCCCTGGCTTCGCAACACATTTGCTCTGCATTTGCTAAAAAATAAGTGCAGGTGACATGGCTGACCTATTCAGAGACAAGAATTTTCAACACGCACAAAAAGTGCACTACCAGGGTGCCCTTGTTCTCTTGCTTCTTAGTCACGTTTTTTGGGGAATGCCTAGGGACACCAAAGGCCAGAGAGAGGGCGCCAGTTTCGCCACTCAACTATGTCTACAACACTCAAGAAGCCTTAGTCATTTGAGCATATTTGAGCCTAGAAGCTACTGAGCCCAAGTACTTCAACGCTTGCCCACGAAGAGAACAAAGGCGCTTGGCAAGCGCTCTTCCTTTGACTGAAGACGCCTGATGACTTTGCTTGTGTGACCCCCACTTGCAGTGTCGAAAGGGGTATTACGGCGCATCCACTCCTCCTTGGTCAGGGGGCATGCCAGAGGTCTGTTGCAGTTCAGCAGCGAGCGACTAAGCAGGGGCCCGACTTTGCTGTTGTTTTGGCAGGGTGGGACTCCTCGCCGCCGTGCAACTGTCTTCACTTTTGGCACACCCGCTCATGCGTATCACGTCATATCTGCGCGCATGCTGGCCAAATGTTCAGCACACCCGCTCACGCGCATGGTGTCATAAGTGCACAAATGCTGGCACATGATAAGCACAGCCGCTCACGCGCATCGTGTCATAAGTGCACACATGTGGCAGATGATAAGCACAGCCGCTCACGCGCATCGTGTCATAAGTGCGCACATGCTGGCAAATGATAAGCACACCCGCTCACGCGCATCGCGTCATAAGTGCACACATGCTGGCACATGATAAGCACACCCGCTCAGCATGTCAGAAGTGCACACACGCTGGCACTTGATAAGCACACCCGCTCAAGCGCATCATGTTATATCTGCGCGCATGCTGGCCAATTTTTAAGCACACCCGCTCACGCGCATGGTGTCATAAGTGCACAAATGCTGGCACATGATAAGCACTGACGCTCACGCGCGTCGTGTCATAAGTGCACACATGTGGCAGATGATAAGCACAGCCGCTCACGCGCATCGTGTCATAGTGCGCACATGCTGGCACATGATAAGCACATCCGCTCACGCGCATCGTGTCATAAGTGCACACATGCTGGCACATGATAAGCACACCCGCTCACGCGCATCGCGTCATAAGTGCACACATGCTGGCACATGATAAGCACACCCGCTCATCATGTTAGAAGTGCACACATGCTGGCACATGATAAGCACACCCGCTCAAGCGCGTCATGTTATATCTGCGCGCATGCTGGCCAAATGTTAAGCACGCCCGCTCCAGCGTATCATGTTGCAAGTGCACACATGCTGGCACATTATAAGCACTGACGCTCACGCGCATCGTGTCATAAGTGCGCACATGCTGGCACATGATAGGCACACCCGCTCAAGCGTATCATGTCATATCTGCGCGCAAACAGGTCCGAAAACGTTTCGACGTTTGAGGAGGGGATGCTAAACGGTTGTTTCGCCTAGGCGAAATACTTCTTTTTGGGAATCTGCCCTGCGAAAACCCATATAAAATGCATTTTGCTGAATCATTGGCTGCGAGAGAGAACGTGGCAGGCGTGGGGGACGGGCGATGGCGGTCAATGTTCTTGTGTTGGGGTTTCGCTTGCCTTCCACGGCGGCGAGGCGTTCCACCACCCTTGTTTTGCGCTTGGTACGGGTTTCCCTCCTTCGATTGAAAGGCCACCTGATGACTTTGCCTCTGCATGTTTTTACAACAAAAGTTGGCAGCGTGGCCCGAGCTCAGCTTCGCAAGGACGCCAGGAGACGCAGGCTTATTCAATCAGAAGGGCAATCAAAAGGCCGCGCAGTCTCCTCACGCCTCTAAGCTTTTAATCTCTTTACCGGAGCCTCTAAGTATCCTTTTTAAACAAATAAGCTCCTAGAAGCTTAGACGCTTGAAGGCTTAGGCGCTTGGAGGCTTGCGCGGCTGCTGCCTGGCGAAGAGGCGTAGGCGCTGAAAAGCCAGAGGAGTTTGCGAAGAGAAGAAGAGAACTTTGGCAGCTCCAGCTCGAACATCTCGACTTTTCAGTGCATGTGGTACACGCAGTACTCTTGGGCAGCAAAAGGCTTTTTTGTTGTCGCTCTGTTGTCGTTCTTGTTCATCTACCAAGCCTGACCTGCTTGCTGCCCAACAAGCTGTTTTCTGACTTGACAAAGCCGGTTCCCACAATCAGTGTCGTTCTTTTAAGTGAGACGTGGCAGTTTTGGACACAAGCGGGCTCTGACTACTAAACTGGCCAGCAAATCACTAAGCAAATGAACTGCCGGTCACACGCGTCGCAACCCGACCCTGATTGACAGTGTCCTTGAGAGCGCCGAAGCGCTGCAGCAGTGGCTTAGGCCATTGGTTGAAAGAAGGGTGCAGCAGCGTGAGCTGGGTAAATGCAATCGGCGCATGCTGGAAAAGCGTGCAGGGTGAATCCAGGGCAACCGTCATTGTGCTTGAAGCAGCCTTGGGTGGGTAGGCGCCCTGACAAGCAACAGCTGGGAAAATGCGAAGCCTGCTGAGAGAGGTGAAAGATCGCGATGTCCACTTCAGACTCTGAAAGCGCGCTGCTAGCTGTTTGAGAAGAGCACCTCCGGCAAATGCATCGCTTCCAGAATTTTCCTGTCAAGGCACTGGCTTTCTCTTGCAACTACGTCCCTGCTTACATGTTTGTAGACACATCCCAGCGTTTTGGCTATTTTCGCTGCCCATGCCAGAGCCTCGATATGCCGTGCCGCAGTCAAGAACACGTCTTCGTCCGCCAGGCTTTTCAGGCCTGCCCGTCGCAGAACAGAAAGTACCTCAACCAAGCTTTGGTGAAACAGATTGACTCAGGCCATGGTCCCTGCACCATCTCCCTCAAGCTACTTTGGACGTTTTGGATGTTTGCGGATGTTTCCGACTGCAGCCGTGCTGCCACTGGGCTGCAATACTCAGGTGGAGGCAGCATGGCGAAGTCGGGCAACATCTCTTGGAGGTCGGCGTCGGCCGGGTCCACCAGGTCGCAACATCTGCAGCGGCGGTTCGGGAAAACCACGACAGGTGCTGCCTCGCAGGCAGTGGCGATGGCTGCGAGGTCCTTCTGCACCCCGTTCTTCTTCCACAGCGCAGCGCCCAAAGAGGCCACGGCCTCCAGAAAGGCCAAAGACAGCTCCTGGTCAAAGAGCCCTGCACGGGGAGCGCAGACCCGGGCCAGAAACTCGGGCAGGGGACTGCGCTGGATGCCAAACTCGCGGAGCGTGGTCTTGGCGGTCTCAGTCCAGCTGATCAGAAAGTCCCCCACATGGGGCTCCAGCCAGGCATCCCACTCGGCGCTGGGTGTGATCACGCAAGTGCCAGGCAGCATCGGCACGGCGAAGGGGCCGCAGGTCTCAAAGATGGGCAACGCCAGGGACCGCTCCATGTCCTTCCTGGTGCCACGCAGGGCAATGGAGCTCACAAGGCGCTTCAGTGGCAAGGCTTTGTCCAGGTCTAAGCGCATGTCCTTCAAGCCCAGGTGCCACCGCTGCTTGAGAGGCGGCTTGGACTTGCTCCGCTCGACGGCTTTGGTCAGCGCAGCGAGGGCCGCGGAGCGGTGCACCCCTAGCGCGGTTCTGAGCCTTGGCCCAGGGCGCGCCAACAGCACACCGAAGTCTGCCAGAACTTTCACCTCCTCGGACGCAAAGTCTTCCACTGACAGCAGACCAGCAGCACCTTGCATGCTCACCAGCCGTACTCCCACTCTTTCAGCTATCACCGGGATACATGGGAAGTCCTGCAAGTGCTGCACCGGATTGCTGCCTTTGTCGCTCACATCTTCTGCCAACTTCCAAAGCAAAACGCACTTGCGCACCACCACTTCCAGCTCAGATTCTTTGTTTACACTTACCATGGGTTTCGTCTCACTGAAATCCGGCGCTGGTGGACATTTCTGCGCTGGCGCGTTTTCCGGGTAATCCTCCTCATCATCGTAGTCATCCCAGTCCTCGTAGCCAGATCTTTTTCTGCTCTCGTAGCGCAAGTTCTGCTTCTGGACCTTGGGTTTTGGGACCTTCTGGAGCTTTGGGGTTGGTTGGCACGTGGGGTTTGGCGCATCGTCCACACAAATGCTGCCGTCCGCCAGTAGCTTGACTTCGCGCTTGTGGCGCCAGGCTGCTGGCAGCACTGACTCCACCAGAGATGGCAGCGCCCTGCTGTTGAGCAGCCGCAGGTTCAGCCGAGAGTTTGCGACCCGAGGCTTGAGCAAAGCGAAGGTGCCGGAGCTGGGATCCACGAACTCCTTGTTCACAAGCTCCTGAGACATGGGGCTGAAGGAATCTCGGGGGAGCCTGGCAAGCCGTCTCTATCAACGGAAAATAAAACCGCGGCTGACATTTTAAAGGCATCGGGTACGAGCCTGCATGCTCGGGTCTTCAGACCACATGTACTCTGGCGTTTGCTCACCAGCTGGCCAGAATGTGCCCAGCTTTCCTGCCGGGAGTTCACTTGGCACAATGCAAAACATGCGGTTGCACATGCGGTCCCGACAGCAGCGGACAGAGCGTCAGCCCATGAAGCAAGGACCTCAGGCCAGGCGGCCGTGCCATGAGATTGCAAAAACCACGACACCGCAAACGCAAAGACGACGCAAGCAAGCAGGCACGCAAGAAGAAAGCAAACAAGCAAGAAAGCGAAGCAAAACAACCCAAGCAAACACACCGTTCAATACACACGCTCGCACAAACACAACATAACATACACAACTAACACACCGGCGCACACCCACATAAGAAAGCAAACAAAGAGACAGACAGGCAGGCAGGCAGGCAGGCAGGCAGACAGACAGACAGACAGACAGACAGACAGACAGACAGACGGACAGGCAAACCAACCAACCAACCAACCAACCAAACAAGCAAAATCAAACAAACAAACACACAAACACACAAACACAAACAAACAAAGAAACAAACAAACCAACCAACCAACCAATCAAAACAACAAACAAACAAACAAACCAACCAACCAACAAACAAACCAACAAACCAACAAACAAACACACAAACACACAAGCACAAACAAACAAACAAACAAACAAACAATCAATCAATCAATCAATCAATCAATCAATCAATCAATCAAACACACAAACAGACAAACACAATCAATCAATCAATCAATCAATCAATCAATCAATCAATCAATCAATCAATCAACCAATCAACCAATCAATCCATCCATCAATCAATCAAGCAACCAAACAAACAAACAAAAACACAATCAACCAATCAATCAATCAATCAATCCATCAATCAAGCAAGCAACCAAACAAACAAACAAAACCACAATCAATCAATCAATCAATCAATCAATCAATCAATCAATCAATCAATCAATCAATCAATCAATCAATCAATCAATCAATAAATCAATAAATCAATCAATCAAGCAATCAATCAAATCGAATCGAATCGAATCAAATCAAATCAAATCAATTGATCGATCGATCAATCAATCAAACAAGCAAGCAAACAAAAAACCAACAAACCAACAAACCAACAAACCAACAAACAAAGAAGCAAACAAGCAAAAAAGCAAACAAGCAGCATAATCAAACTCATACGCACAGCCACAAACACACTAAAAAAATCATACAACCACACACACACACACACTCACACAAAAACACACAATCACACAATCACAACAAACACACATACACTCAGCTCTAGTGACTAGTGCTCACTTTTGCTTCCAAAACATTCCAGAGTCAAGATTGGACAGTTCTTGAGTTTCCGACGCCTGACGCACATGAAACTCCGTAACAGCATGCAGCAATAGTTTTTGAAATTCTCCGAATCGAAAGTCGCAAGCGCTGGACGGAGCCGGAGCATGCATGCGCATGAAAACCAGCTCCGATGCTATGTTGGTGCCTGCAGTCTTGCCACCCTCGCTTGGTCTGCTTTTCAAGCAAGCAATGTTGAAGCTTCTATGAATGAACCCGGCATGCCCTGGCTTTCAGCAAATGCATCAATAATCCGGCGATCCCACGATCTGTTGAGCCAAGTGGCAACGGCCCGCTGCCACCTGACAAAAGGTAGTCAACCAGGCAGTCTGCCTCCTGAGCAGAAACTTTGGTGTCGAGGCCCTTGAGCATATTGGACAAGGACTGCGGCTGTAGCCAGGTAACACCCTTGATGTCAAGCAATTCGCACAAGGCCTCAATGGTCTGAATGGAATGCAGCTAATGGAAACACAATGGAAACACCATAGCTGCAATAAGAAGAGAAGAGCGTAACACAAAAGAGTTGACAATTTCGCAGTGCGCCTCAGGAACTTGCACCACCCTCCGTCGCCTTCCTGCAAGACAAAGGCGGCTGATGGCTGCGCGCAAGGACGCGTCCAGCTTGCTGTAGCGGGCGTCTGGGTATAGCAGCGCCGACTTGGCGCTGAGGAAATTCGCGTCGGCATCCAGAAAGACTTTGGCATCCCTGGCCACGAGCTCCTGGCTGACCAGGCGCGGGATCTCCGAAAAGTGGCCCAAGCCCGTTGACGGCCAAACCGCCCACATGCTTTGGACGCTGATGGGGTGTGGCAGATCCAGGTCTGTTGGGAAGGGTGGCTCCGCGCCGAGTGCCAAGGCTGCGTAGAGCTCCATGCAGTCGCAGTAGGCCTTGGGGCAGGTCCCCTCCAGGAGCGCCTCGTTCCACGCGGCTCGGAAGCTGCTCTCGCTGGAGGCCTCGTCATCGCTGCGCCGCCACAGGTCCCGACGGTTGGCCGTGAGCGCGAAGTTGGCGGAGACGTGCGCGTTGAGCCCCGTGGCCATGGACAAGGGCAGAAAGCAATAGGCTTGCCCGAAGGCGTCCGTCTCAGATCCCGCACCCTGAAGCAAAGGAAGAGCCACGGCAGCCATCCGGAAGTTGGGCACGTGATGCCCAGGAGGAGCCTTAGAAGGGAAGTCTTCTTGCATAGACATGTTCCGGGCTTCCACATGTTCCGGAAAAGCAGATCCAAGCCGGGCCTCTATACATTGAGCTGGCTCCGCACGCAGGGTCACCAGCCACACTGCCAATCGAGACCCGCCATCTGCGTCTCCCAAGATCTCAATCGGAAGAATGAAGCCCGTCCGCCGGGCCCTCACCTCCTGGCAAGCAAGATCAAAGATAGCAAAAGCACAAGCATCATCAAGCGTCCCAATCAGCTTCATGCTTTAGACAGGAACGCCCAGTTCCTCCTCGACCAGATTGTGGAGCATGCGCCGTTCCTTCCGCAGGCGCTCACTGGCTGCTGCGCAGGCCATTTGGATCTTGGCACTGCCAAGGCACTTCCAACCAGGTGCCTGCCGTACATACACCTCCAACTCCTCCACATACTGCAGAAAAAGCAGAAGCTCCCCAGCAGAGGCCAAAAACTCTCGCAGGATGGCCAAAGCATCTTGGAAGCTGTGAGCCTGCTTGCAAATGGCAGACTTTGCCGCCAGCTCTGGCGTCCTCAGGGGCAGGCGGAAAAGCGTCCCAGCACCATCGACGCACGCTTCTGCTGCATCAAATGGCTCCAGCTGTGCGGAGTACTGCGCCCTGGTGTCTGCCGTCAGTGTGAGTTGAAGGCCTGGCAGATCTGACGGAAGGTGGGCCCGGTGCGGGTCGAAGATGCACAGGCGTTCTCTGGAAACGAAGGACACTACATCAGTCAAGTGGTACGTGGCATTGAAGCCCAAGCCGTAGCGTCCTATCTTGGAGTGGTCCTCCTTCTTCACAGAGGCCCCGACACGGCGGATGCCCTCGAAGTCAGCGTCCGAGAAGGAGGCATCGTTGTAAGCGAGAACCGCGGGACCCTGCCAAGCAGCAAGACGCTGATCCAGGAGCCCAGTTGGGCTTGGATTCCTCGCGCCCGCATGGCCAGAGTGGAAGGAATCATCTGCGAGAAGTGCAAAGCGCCGTGCTTTGGCGTCGTCCGCGTTTTGCAGCAGCTCCCGAAAAACACCCGGGCCAAAGGCGTAGTCATGCAAAATGTTGCCCAAACGAACTGTCAGGTCCTCCTTTTGCGCGAACTCCACCCATGGCAATGCCATTTTGCACTGTGCACCCTTGAGCCTGACTGCATCAAGAGCAGCTCGAGCCCGAACCTGACACAGCTCATGCTTGACTACCGCGTGAAGTTCACCTTTTTAAGCTGAGCAGCTCTCGCCTTTCCACCTTTTCAAGGTGAGGCACTGCTAAACATCAAAGCTCCATTCATGGAGTGCGATGGGGTGCGATGGGTCATGGGAACCAAATAGGCTCGGAGAAGCCGTTGTGTGTTGTCCTTGGCCTGGAGTACATGCACTCCGGCTGCGCCATCAAGGCTATGGCATTTCCTTTCGCAGGCCGTGCCACTTTGGGCAGCAAGGCTTTGAACTGTCGCAAATAAGGCTCACTGAAGGCTCTGCCCGTGCGCTCCGGCTCAGGTGCCTTGGGAGCCTTGACCTTGACCCCCTTGGCCTTAAGGGCGAGGTTCAGATGAGCCGCGCTTCGGGACACATGGCCCCGGTGCAGGAAGAGGTCCAAACTCTCCAGGGTGAGGCCCACTTTGACCACCGGCGCCGGGCCGCAGCTTGTGGTGGCCGGTGCCTGGGCCGCTTTCTGGTGGGGCATCCACCCGCGCATCGTGGGCAAGCGGCGGCACAGCCTCTGGACCTCCTTGGGCACCGAGGTGTCGCAAACGTCCAGCTTCGCGCCCTTCAAGGACCGCGGCAGCTTGCCAGCGAAGCGCGCCACGGAGGCCTCCGTGACCTCCTGGCAGCCCTGCAAACTCACCTTGCTTTCGGCCCCGGGCGCGGCAAATCCCGCACCCGAGGAAAACAACATATACTCCGCTCCTTTTCAGTCCAAATTCATGTGCCGATTCGGAGCCATGCCAAGAGGAGCCATTGCAGCCCAAGAGTGGGTTTTGTGATGGGGGCCATGAAAGATCATGAAAGGCAGGCTCTGGTCAAGGATTTCGACCAGCATCATTTGCATTTTGTCCAAAATAAGACTCAAAGGCCCCCTGTTTTCAGGTTCTTGGAGGGTCCACAGCTTCGGGGGGGGGGGGGGTGAGGCCCACTGCCCCAGGTGCCTATCCCGGAGAGAACTGGTACCCTGTGGTAGTTGAGGTCGTTGTTGGTCTATTCCGGAGAGAGTCCAATATGCCAGTCATGGATGATTGGAGGATGGATTGTCCCTGGTGGATTGTCTTGTGGATAATCCTGTAAGCGGCCTGCAATGGCTCTTTTGCCTTCACGCTCGGATGGTCGTGATTCTGCAAAAGGGGCCTTGAGCCAAATGTTGCGGGAGATCAATGGTCTGAAAAACAGAACACAAAACAGACACAAATTTCTTTTGATCTCCAGCACAAAGTATGAAATACTATTGGTTTCATGGCCAGGGACCGTAGCCTTGATGTGTGCCGTAGCCATGTGATTAAAAGTGCCGGATTCATCCTTTTTCTGCTTGGATGAAATGTCTTGGCCTTCGAAATGGGAAACACTATGTACTGCTTCTTTTTGGAGACCTAAATGATCAAAGGGTGATGTACAATGCTATGTACACGCGGAACGATTGTGAAACTATTGATCTCTCACTCATGGTATAGTCTTGTAGACGACGAGGATCAATCATCTGGATTGTTCGTGGTGCTGAACGTATCTTCATGGTCAGTCGGATCGACGATACCATCGGCGGCTGCTGTCGGATTGACTGCCATGGTCCCCATAATCATTCCAGGTCGAAGTGCTATAGTCCTTCCACTGCTTCTGATGTCCCCACTGCTTGTTGTAGTCCTTGTAATGCTGCAGGGTCCAGGATGATTGCTTCTTCTTGATGTAATCCTGGTATCTCTCAGAGCTGCGTTTACTGGTTGCAGATTTGCTGCGGATGTAAACCATGAGAGGACTGTGGGAGTCGGAGTCCTGCGAGCCATTCATGAACATTTCATTGTTCACGTGCTTGTAGCGCTCTGCGGATGAGACCTGGTAATCGAATATGGCCTTGGCTGGATGGTTCCGCATGAATTCCAGTTGTTCATCATCCATACCGTTCATCTCGTCCTTCCGGAAATTTTGCTGGATGTTCGTTTTGCCCCATCCAAATACGATAGTCATCATCACATCTGGGAATGTTCGATCAAATCCTGATCCGCATTTCATGTACAGGTGATGACGGACAATGGATTTCAGGGTGCACGAAGTCTCCATTGCATACTCCATTCTGTCCACGAGTGGCAAATTCTTCGTTGCATTCCACAGTCTCTGATATGTCCTCATGAGGATGTTCACGAGACCGTTGGTCGGATTGTAGACGTGCTGGAGTTTGCTGTAGGTGTTCGCTGATTTGTTGGCGTCTCCGGTGATCGCGTCGCATCGGTACAAGGTCACGAGCGGCATGATTTCATTCTGAAGATCTTCCTTTGCTGCTCCATGGCTAAGTGAAGGATGGATGTGGAAGACTCCAATGGTTGCGAATGGTAGATCTGCCCTCGTTATGTGGCGGTCGTCATACTCGTGGAATGACTTGTCGGATGATTTCGGGATCATGCCACGAAACTCATCACTCTGCTCGATGTGGAGAACGACGATCTCCTTGTCTCGGCCATGTCCTTGGACAATGGTGCGTGCTGGCAATCTCGATCCAATGTACTTCTTGGGTTCAGTAAACATGGATGTTCCTGTGGTTGCCAAGCAATCCAAGGTCGGAATTTCGTATTCGGGATCAGTGCAATCTCCTTTAGTTCCGAAGAAACATCTGAACATTCCGAATGTGGATCCCCAATTCTGGCTCCTGGTGGAAATGTGTCTTGCCAGAAGTTCCTTCATCCAGGTTGTTCTTTGGTGCTGGCTTGACCTTGGAGACAAGCCTCAATGTCGGTGGCGGTGACTTTGGAACAAGTTTCGGATGTGGCATCGCCTTTGACAAAGGCCTTCCTGCGAGAGGATGCCCTTCTTCATCTGAATCAGCGTCATCGGAATCTCGATCATAATCAACCTGCTCCATGTTGACATTCTCGGGTTGTTGAGAGGCGGATGGATTCTCATCAGCGACTTGCTCCATGGGGCAGTCGGATGTCTCATCTTCCTCATCACGAGCAGGGGATTCCTTCAATGGTGATGCCCGCCTCTTGATCATCGGCTTTGGCACAGGTGCCGCATCGCCGGATCGTCCAAACATCAGGTTGAGGATGGGCATGTCAACGAGGTGATCGAGCATACAAGATTGCAAAGGTCGGATTGGTTGTAAACCGAAAGTGGCTGCGGAGGCAGACACATATTTCTTGAGATTCAAAATGGGTCAAGTGCAAACACGCGCATCACGGAATTGAGGAATTGAAAATATGCAAAACTGAAAAACTCATGCATCAGAATTCGTGGACATGCGGATCATGCCCAGGTTCCCCAATAAGCAAACATGGATTCTGCTATACCGACTCCTGCAAAGGCAATGATGTCGGGTCCGTGCTTCGTGTTGTGTGCTAGCCACTCAACCAAGAATGCCTTGTTCTGCAACATGGTACGAAAGGGTGGATGTGCATCTACATTCAAGAGATTGCCGGTGAGGACGGCCTTGATGAGCTCGTCTGCTTTAGCTGAGTGCTTGGTCAGAGAATCTGCCAGACAATCTTCACTTCGTACATGTGCAAGGTCGTGCATCTGTCCACTGTTGCTTTCCTTTCTCAACACCTGGATCAAATGCATTGTTTCTTTCTGTTCCGGTTGATGTGTTGTGGATGCTGTGGTGACAAGATTGTTCGCATCAGTGCGGATGTGTACATCTGCAATTTCGCCCGTTATGCCTGACCAGAGACCGCGAAGAAATAATGCTGAACCGTAACAACGCATTAGTCCATGCAACTCTGCAACAGTAGTGGACATGGTTGTGGCGGTGATCTTGTGCGTCTCATAGTCGACCAGTGAGCCTCTCGAGTTCGATGAGCCCTAGCAAAGATCTCTTTGTTCTGCAAGAAAAATAACATGCGCACGTTGGGATGACTTATCCTCGTTGTTGCGATAGGATGCATCTGGATAGCCAACTATGCGTGTCTTGCCACGAAGGGGCCAGAATCTCATGCTAAGCGGGATGCTTTTGATGGTTCTGTCTTATTAATGGCGCGAACGTCCTCAATGGTTGGTGATGATGCCTTGGATGCACACCAATGTGGAATTGCGTTCGCGACTGTAACCAGTTGATCTGACCTAGGACGCTTCTGTATGCAGTATGCATTTGTGGAGTAAGAGGAGTGTCGTCCTTCAGGTGTTTGTCAAAAGTGATCTCCTGCAGTTCGTCGATGGCAACGTTCTGATGAACATTGATGTACCAACCGTGCTTGTCATCTTGCTTCCATTGGATGCGCTGTCCTACGAAGAGGCAATCATTTTGTCCTCGGAACCAACCTGAAAATCTTTCCGAAGTCGTCCCATGATTTCCTTCTCGAACACGTCATCCCCCGTCATAAGAAGATCATCTACATGAAGAGACAGGGCTCCATGAACTTGTCGATTCTTAGCATTGTTACCAGAAACAGGATCCATCAGGTAATCAACTGCTCCTTCTAGATCGAAAGTTGTGGATGATTTCTTTTCACTCACCAATGCGGGCTTCGGAAGCTGCTTGCCGTAGTACACGTATGTACAACGGTCTGCCCGGGTTGGCACTAGTCCGTATGAACGAAGTGCCGAATCAAGGATGTTCCACCATCTGCGTGGTGCGTCATTCAGCCCGTAGGCAGGCTTCTTCATGCGCGCTCCAATGTGTGGTGGATATCCCATTTCAGGAGGAATCTGACAAATGATGTCACGAGACTGGTCGTATGCTTCGCCTTGGAGAAATGCTGTCTTCAAATCCATGTGGAATATATTCCAGCCTTCTTTTGAGGCTGCTTGGATTGCAAGGCGGAAACCACTCCTGGATGCAGCAGGACTGTCTGTCTGCTGATCATTCTTCTGCTTGTCTTGGAAGCCTCGGAGGACCCAGCGAGCCTTGGTCTTCAAGAAGTTACCATCCTTGTCTCGCTTCAGGGTTAGACCCAGCGACCGGTGACCCAGTTCCTGACCTGAATCTTGCGTGTATCGACTAAGTCGAACACTTCATTGTCAAGCCATGATTTGCACTCAAGCTGCTTGGCTTCAAGGAATTGCTTCTGATAAGCTCTTATTTCCGTGGCTGTAGCTTCCTTCCGCTTCTTGCCAATGAGTGCGGATGTGGATGAAGCCTTCAAAGATTCTTGCTTGGATGAATACAGAACTAAGAGTGCACGGTCATCGTCGGTCATGTTCTTGCATAGCTGGTCAACATGATTCTGATCTGTGTATTTCTGATGAGAGAATCCGCATCGGGGCGATGGGCTGAAGGTCCCTTTCACACGTCCAAGAAGGACAGGATTGCCTTCAATATCTCTCGGAACCGTAAATCATCCGGTGTTCGCACAGATCTTCTGTTCGGCTGTCATGAGTGACCAATGCGCTTCATCTAGAACGAGATCAGCTTGGTGATCATCGTAGGATCTGGTCCTCTGAGAGTCTTCTGAATCTCCATCTTCCTGGTCAGTGTATCTCATAGTTCTTTCTGAACTTCCAGTGCCGGATGAGGTCGGAACATGAGGAATCAGCTCTTCCTCACTTTCATATTGGACCGGCAAATTCACTGGATTGTTCGGATTATAATTGGATGAAGATGCAGGATCATGTCTGGGAGAATGCTCAGGTGACTCATCATTGTCATCTGGCTTCTTCTTCTTCTTCTTCCCAGTCTTCTGCTTCTTTGATGCGCAAGTGTTGGCAGTTCAA